TAAGGGGGAATGGCCCTGCAGAGGGGCTGCTCAGAGGCTGCTCAGAGGCTCCCCAGCACAGCTTTAGCAAGGAAAGGGAATGTCCCTGCAGAGGGGCTGCTCAGAGGCTGCCCTGGGAAGAGCTGGAGTGTCCCTCCTGCAGAGCTGAGAGCCCCCCACCCTCCATCAGGAGCACCCAGCAGCAGCAGCAGGGCTGTGCAGTCCCCTCCCAGCGTGCTGGGGTGCTGAGGCAGAAACCCACAGCATTACAGCCACCATTTACAGCCATCATTTCCCTTACTCCAGCAGGCAGGGACAGCCATCAAACAGAAGGGAGTCAGACACATGAATTTCATGAAGGACATTACATCTGCCAAACTAATTAACGTGGAGAAGTGCTCAGATGGTTTGGTGGAGGGAGGGGAACTCAATCTAACCCTGTCCTATATATCTGTGTATGTAGGGACAAATAATTTATTGCTTTGGCTGTAAATACACCATTTTCTTTATAACCACTGAGATGGGGAAAACCTCTCTAGAAATTCAAGCTGGATAAATCCAGGCCAATGAATTATTTGAGGCTTCACCCATGTCTGGTATTTCTGAGTATGCCCCAGTCTTAACACACTGGCCAAAGAATATTCTGCAGTAAAATTTTAGAATGAACATTCAGGGGTTCAGTGTGCTTGCTGAGAGTTCTCAGAGCCTTTCTGAGGTTAGCATTGCTGCACAATGTAAACCCACTTCCTGAGTCCCAAGAAATGCTACAAGACACTGAAGCTCTCCTCCGAGGCTGTCCTGATGCAGTGCTCCATACCACAGCAAAATGAACACACTTTTACTCCACCAATAATTCCACCTCTGCTGCTGAATGCAGCCCCTACTGAATGGAGATCCTTTAAATGCTACAAAGGAAAGAAGAAAGCAGTCCTGCACTCACTCCAGATGAGGTCAAAGGAGCAGCCGAAGCTCTGGCACGACATTCACCATGGCACAGTGGCATCCCCCACATCTGCACAGTCTGCCAGGTGGCAGGTGCACAAGGGATGGTCTGTAATCCACACTGAGACCACAAAGGCAAAGGTCTGGCTCTGCTGCCTCACTGGGGAGAGCCCCAGGACTCTGTGCCACTCACAGAGGTGGCAGGCAGCACTCACACACAGCTGCTGGCTGGGAGGGGAACACAGGAGAAAGGAGGGGGTTTCTGGCAGTGAAGGCTTGGCCCTGCCTTTGCCAGGCTGGAAATGTGCCTGTGCTACAGAAGGGGACCGTGGTGAGACACCTCTGCTGCACTACAGCAGCAAAGGGGGAGCAGACATCATGGGCCCTGGAAAGAGGGACAGGAGAGGCTCCCAGAGAGCTGCTCCTGCAAAATGACAGGGAAAGGAGCTTTGAAGTAATAGGGCTTGGTGGCAGAAGTTAGGAGGGCTGCCTGTGATGAAGAGGAGGGTAAAAAGCCCATGCAGAACAGAGTGGCAAAACAGCAGCCAACGATGAACTCGATATGGTGAGCCAATACTGAGGTGGGACAGCAGCTCCGTGTGGGGAGGGTGGCACAGCAGACTCTGCAGCTCCATGTCCTGGAGTCAGCCTGCAGGACAGGAGAGCACGTGGTGACACAGGGGTGGCTCAGAGAGGCAAATCTGAGCCTGGGCTTCCTGCACCTCCATGGCTCCCCTGCACAGCAGCGGCCAAGCCCAGGGCAGGGCAAGTCCTCGGATGTGACAACTCTGAAACCCCTGATGATGAAACAGGCACACATTGACTGCTCTGACATCTCTGACCTGCAAATAATGCTGAAGTAAATCTGCTCTTCACATTTACAGCCAAAATTAACAACCTTGTTAAAGGCACTTTGAGGCCCCACATTTGTGCCTGCAGACCTTTTCACTCACTTTTTCACCCCTTTTAATTATACTTTAAACCCAATCTCATTTGTAAAATATCTGATTTGAGATCTGACTCTCATTTAGTAAGCCCATTTGATGAACCATTATTTACTAATGCCTCCTTGAAAAGAAGATTCTTCAGCAATCATCCAAGACAAGAAACTCCTATTCACCTGCAGGAGCTGTGGACAGCTTTGGGAATTGAACTGCTGCATTTACCAGTGAATCATCAAGTTTCAATACACCATGGTTGTAGGAGTGCTTTTGATGCCCTGAAGAGAGGAACAGCTCACAATGAATCTTGCATAGAGGCATATATTTTTTAAAATAAAAGTTGTTACTGCATTTTAATGGGATATTTTTCCAAGTCCAATAAACACCTGTGTCTTCTGCCCTATTGACTGGTGTAAAACTGGCAGAAGCAGCTGGTACAGGGTCTCTGCATTACTGGATTTGCCCTCCTCTTTTCTAAACTCTAACAAAATGACTGCGCTAAGTAAAGGAAATGGCAGCTAACCCAGCCCAGATTTTTCTCCCAGCTTCCAGAATCCACACTGAATGCCTCACTGGTGTGACCACCACACACACTCCTCCCACCACACCCTGAGCTTTGGAAAGGCACCTAAAGAGACCTGGTGACTTTTCTGCTCCCCCCAGGGTTTATCCAAGCTCCAAGGCCTGGCTCTGTGCTCCAGTGCAAAGAGGGACAAAAAGTGCATTGCTCACCCCTGCCCACGGGCACTGCAGCCAGACCTGAGGAGGCACAAGGCTGGCACAGCTCCAAGCCAGGGACATCAGGGATCTGCAGACTGGCACTGCAGCAGGACACACCATAAGCAAATGCACTGGCCAGCTATCATCAGAGAGAAGAACACACCTCACCACTGACAGTCACACACCTCAGCACGGGAAAAGTCACAGCAACCCCAGGCTTGGAAAAATGATCATCACAGTGCCCGTTGCTAGGGGAACTCAGAGATGTTCAGAGCAAACTACACTGAAAAGGCACCTCTTGCACAGCATTAGATGCTAAGAAGGCCATCATGGTTATGTGACTAGAGGTGTGAGAAAAGCACTCTGAACTGAACAAGTGGTCACAGCACCCTGCTGCAAGCAGGGCTGGAGAGCTTGTGCAGGTAACACTCCTCATGTGGCAGAGCAGGGACAGATCTGTGGAGAGGAGCTGCCTCTAGATACTATGGCTGAAACACTTCCTTGCACAGAAACCCTTTTTTAAAACTACATCTAAAATGTCTTGGGTGAGATCAGCTGCTTTGACTTCATTTCAATGCTTAGAAACAATGCAGAAGGGAGTAAGCCCCTACTCTCATGAGCAGTGAAGAGCTCATAAACCTTGTAATATAAAGATGGCATAAATACAGTACAAATACTGAAGCATGGAGGTTTCAGCCTTGCACAGTAACAATTCAAACACAGAAGTATCTGATACACAAACCAGACCAGCATCTTACCTCCTGCTATAGATCTGCTCAGGCGCAGGAACTCCTGAAGCTACAAAAAACCGCTGAAGAGCTTGCACTTACTGGGAATTTCAAATAATATCCCCAGAAGACGGGCACTCCAAAGCTGCCTTTCAATGAGTATCTCAAACCCACTGATCCTGCCATCCATTTCCATACACCCCAGTGCAGTGGGTGGGTTTGCACGGCTGCCAAGGAGCAGCCCCAGAGCGCTGGGGGCCGTTCCCAGCCCCGATTGGCACGGTGTGCCCACGCATGGCTCCTTGCCCTCACTGCTGCCCTGGCCCTGTGCAGCCCTGGGTTACCTTGGGCACTCCCGCTGCGCTCTCGGACAGCCGGGGGTAGGTGTACGAGCTGTAGGGATGTCCCTGCTGGTGAGCTTTGAAGGCGCTGCCCGCGTAGGGCATGGCCGGCTCCTGCAGGCCCGAGCCCGACCTGGATCTCTGCCTCATGGCTGGCTGGGGGCTCGCGGGGTCCACGTATGAGGACTTGGGCCTCTTGTCCATGTCCTCCTTGGCGAGGCCATGTCCCCAGTCAGGGTCCCCGTAGTCCAGCCGGTCCCTGGGGCCCTCGCTCTGCAGCGAGGCCCGGGACGGGGCGTAGGGGAAGGAATCTCGGTAGTCCAGGGAGGAGCCGCTGGGCACGCGCTGGTACTCCAGCCTCAGGCCGCCATACTCCAGCGCCTTGGGCTTGCTCTCCAGGTGAGCCTGGTAATCCGGGAGGAACCGGGACAGCTCTGGCTGCAGGGGGGCCACCTCTGAGTAGTAGAAGTCGTGGGCCGTGACCTTGAGCAGGTGCCCGTTGTGCCGGGCGGCCAGGCTGCCCTGGCAGTAGCGGTCCCACTCGTCCCCGCACAGGGCCCGGTCCCGCAGCCGCTCCCCGGCACTCTCGGCCGTGCTGTCCGACTCGCTCGAGTACTGCGAGCACACGATGAAGCCATTCTCCTCACGGGGCCGGGGCACGTGGTTGGCACTGCCCTGGTGGTGCCGGGGAGGGCTCTCCTTCCGCAGCGAGTTGGAGCGGGTCACCGAGATGTTGTCAAACTCCTCCAGCAGCCCGTTGATCGAAGTGTCCTTTCGAGGCTTGTTCCCCCGAACAATGGTCTGCCAATACAAAATGGCTTTGGTTAAACACTGGGTTTTGTTCAGTATTTCACCAAAAAAAAAACCACCAAAAAGGAAAGAAGTCTGTATTCACCCAGGACTACCCACAGCAAGGTCTTATGCTCTTCGTCACATATCTCATTGCTTTAAAAAAACCTTCAATAAATAATTCCAGTAGGACATGAAAAAATGTTTAAATACAGTGCAGATCACAAGCTGGGATTTGGCATGCAACCCCAAGACACTCAAAAAGCCCAATTTCAGAGGTGGGTGTTCAGCAGCCAACAACAGAGACATCCAAACTCACTACTTATTTTCCATTTGTTCTTATTCAGTTGTCTGCATCAAGCCACACTGGTGGGCTGAGTCGGATTTTCAGGGCATGAATAAGCTAAATGAGAATCATTCAGTGGTCACTTCCATGTGCTACTTTAGCAAACTGCTGGAATGAAAAGTAGCATACAGTTAATCAGGCACTGAATTTTTCTGGCTTTTTCTTTTCTTACAAAACAGTATGTTCCTGAGTAGCAGAATCCCACTGAGGACTGCCTCTTAGTTAACTTAGTGTAAAATACACTTGGGAAAGAGGGAAAAACACTTAACTCCATCTCCTTGTAACACACAGCATCCAGCAGGCCACGGTGCACAACCATGGCTCTGGGACACCCATGTCAGGGATGCCAAGTGCTGGCACAGTTTGTGTCCCACTATTGCCAAGCCTCCCACAGACCCCACCCCACTCCTTTATGCCCAGAGCACTGCTGCTCCTGCTGGGATGGGAGGTGAGCAGTGTGTGGTTACAGCTGTCCTTCAGGAAATATTTCATTTTTTAGCCAGTTCCACCTGAGGGCTGTAACATGTGCCTGCATCCATTTCTCACCTGGCACTGCTGTTGAGCACCACTGCACGTTTACAAACACCCAATAGGAATAAGATGTACAGATTGGTGCCCAGGGCCATAAATCAGCCAGGCTGCACTGAAAACACGTTTGCTTTGTTGATGTACTTTGGCTAAGTGTAGTGAGAGTCCTATGTATTGAATTAGTGGGTCCTAGCTATTCTAAATGAGCTGCAGCTGCGAAGTCCTTAGTTGGGCAGCAGCTGTAACTCGTTTAGAATAGCTAGGACCCACTTATTCAATACATAGGACTCTCACTACAGCTAAGTATCTCTGGCTGCATCTTACTTAACTCAGTGAGCTTTTCAACAGAGTCACCGTGGTGACCCCAAGGAGAGTCCCCGCTCTGGAAGTGTTGCACATGGACTGTGGTGTAGCAGGAACCAAGCAGGCAGGGCAGATGCTGAATGTGGGACACTGGACACCAACCACAGCATTCCAGAGCCAGCCTGGTCACGCTGCACTTGTTCCAAGCATACTGAGACTGCTCAACTCCTGCTTGACAGCACTCAGGGATTCAAACTTTGTCTAAAAAAGCCTTCAATCACTAGTAAGAGCACAACATTAACAGGAACGCACTGCTTTGTCTCCCAGCAAGAGGCAGCTGAGAAAAGGCAGGTGAAAAGCAAAGCAGTGCTGACCTCACGCTGCCTCCTGCTCTGATTTATGTCCATAATTACTTGCCTAGTTTGCTATTTTGAAGCCAGTGGTACTGAAACAATAGGACAGCAAAAATAAGAGACAGCAAATAGATCACTCCTTTCACCTCCAAAGCCATTCAGCAGGATGAGAGGGATTGCTTTAATTCTGCTCCAGCCTCTTAGGCAGGATGGCTGCATGATCATTCCTATTTAATTATCACATAATAAAGCAGCAACATTCGACAATGAAATGCTTATAATTGAAAACAAGATTGAAACGCCCGGCTGTGCAAGGCCTGCCGAGGAGGGAAGTGCCCATTTCACACCTCCAGGGAAGCTGCACAAAGCAGAGCTCCCCTGGCTGTGCCAAGGGAAGGGGAGCTGCTCCCCTGCCCCTCCAGACACGCTCTGCTCTGTCTGCATTGTCACACACCCTCACAAGGAAGGTTCAGAAAATGCAGCTGAGTGTTTATGTTGGAGAATTCACTGGTGACAAATCCCTGCGGTTTGGGGATTTTCTGCAGACAGGTGCATGCGTGGGAGGAACCTTTTCCACTATGGGGATTTTAAAATAGCACTAATAGTAAAATGATCTTATAGGAAATTCTGGTTTCAAAAGAAAAAGAAGCATTTGCCACTGAAGCCTCAGCCTGGTGAAGCTGTCCTGGACAGCTCTGGGACCTCAGAGTTGTCTCCTCCTGACTGGTGAAGTGAAGGGGATTAAGAACTAAACCCCATCTCTTTTATCCCGGCATTTTAAGGATGATCACTGGCTAACAGTGACTTGCAAGTGTGATGGCTGCAATTCCTATTGGCTTCAGATTATTTTCCATAAGAAAATGAAAGTGGCCAGCACAAAGGGAGGATAAAACTTACCCGTTCCAGAGACACACTTTCTGAATAGTCAGTGCTTTGTTACTATGAATAACAATTATTATAGATTATGATACCTAATTATTTCTAATAGCATAAACAATAATATTTCTACTTGCTTTGGCTTGTTTTTAAATTTTGCATTTCCCTTATATGGAAGGCCAGACTTGGTGAAATGCTTCCAGGCTCAAGCAGACAGCCTACACCAGCTTGATCTTCTCCCAAGGAAATATCCAGCACCATTCTTATCAAAAGAACTGTAGTGTCCATGGAGAAGAAAATTTGGGAAGTGTTTCATCAAGACCATGTGAAATGCTCTGTATTGTCAAGGCATTTGCTATCTGAATAGAACTTTAAATGTTTCTACACAATTCTGAAGTGCTGCAGGTCTGATCCCCTGTGGGTGCAGTGCCCTG